CTCTCCTCCCTGCACTGCTTCCCCTGCTGCGTGCTTCATTGACCTTGTGAGGACCTGGGGCAGGAGGATGGATGGTCTGTGTTAGCAAAGCTCAAGAGAGGCATGTCTCACCTTAATGCTGGGACCAAAGTGGACCGACCATCAGCCCTGCTGCTCAGTGGATGGAAGTACCCGAGGCAGCCTGCTATAAAAACACCCCGTGCTGCCCTGACCAACGTCCCTGAGCCCAACTTTCCTGGGCATCCCATGAGGCCAGGTGCTAAATATGTAACACTCTTCCCTCTACCTCGAATAAAGGCAGACTCACTCCTAGTTCTGCTTATTCCAAGCCAGAGTAACCAGGGGCCCTGGGTTTCCAGCCTCTCGCTGTGTGGGTCTGTGTGTCCGTTCATGCTCCACTGTGCCCCCAATGTGCCAGCTGGTCCTCTGCTGCACACACCCCAGCTCAGGGCCTATCTTGATTCCATCTGCCCCCATCGGCCTCTGGCACTGTGTCAGGCAGCCCGCAAAGCTTTGGCGTGGATGGACAGTCAGGGAGGCACACCCATTTCTCCTGTAGGGGGAGCTGCGCTGAAGACTCGGGCCCTGTTCGAGTCAGAGCACACACGCACTTTAAATGCCGACTGCGCGCATTCCAGCTCATAGACACTCATGCTCTGCCACACACTGCCCGATGCCAGGGCAGAGGTTGGAGAACTCAGTGCACGCCCATACAAATGCCCTGCGAGATGCCCAAAGCCACCCCGAGGCAGGGCGAGGCTGTGTAATCACCTTACTGAGTGGTGCCCAAGCTGGGGCCTGGAGTTCGGAGGTGAGAGGCGGCAGGGCAGACAGGGGAGAAGAGCTCTGGAAATGAGGGCAGGGCACTTACTAGAATGCTTGACAAACTAGCGTGCACCATCCAGAGCTCTGGCGGCTGTGGGTGGCCCAGCCCGGACACGCCGAGGGGCAAGTGTTTCATCCAGGCGCATGGGCACGGAGGAAGGGAAAACACGACTGGGGCTGAGCCTCCACACCTCAAATCTTGATACAGAAACTGCTTGTTTGAGCTGGAGCAGATCAACATCCAATGACTAATTGCACCCCCCACCAAAACAAACTCACTGTCATTGAGTCGATGCCAACTCAGAGACCCTACGGGACAGACTAAGGCCTGCCCTTGTGAGTTTCAGTCTGTAACTCTTTGGGGGAGTAGAAAGCCCCTTCTTTCTCCTGCAGAGTGGCATGGGGTTTTGAACTGCAGACCTTGCGGATCACAGCCCAGCGCTACCAGGGATCAAAGGAGCGAACACTGACAATGTGAAGATTTAAGGAGTGATGCGGGTATCACAGTAACATCATGTAAACATCCATGGTCATTTCCTTCCCCTGTATCCTCAGGCTGGCAGGCAGCCTGGCAACACATTTCTGGCTGGCGTCATCTGCAGTGTGATCTTCATTTTACGGGCGGAGTTCAGAAGTTTCAGGTGCCACACTTTCAGTAAACGAATGGTATCCTCCCCCCTCCCACCACCCTGAAGCACAAGCTAGCGTGGTCTGGACTCGGAGGGAGGAGAGGTGTTTAAGGGCCTTTCTCAGCCACCGAGGTAGTGCGTCGGATTCCCTACAATGCTGTCAATGTACCCTTGTAAAGAGTGGGGAAAATCCTTGGATTGAAAACTAGTAAACGAAGGCGAGCGAGTGGTTAGCGGTCACCGGTGTTCATTAGAAAGCCGTCCCTAGGGCTCCTCGGCATCCAGCTGCCCCCGTGGCACACAGCCCCTGGGGTGGGTCCCTCTGCCAAGTGGGGAAGACAAGTGCTGAGGGTGTCTTGTGAAGAGGGTCTTTGCCACTCGGCAGTTACAGCCCCATCGCGCTGTGGAACTTCAAGAACATGCCTTTTGACTCTGACTCCGAGCATCTTTCAGAATAGATGCGCATGGGCACTGGGCCAGTGATGCTCAGGCAGATCCAGCCGCTGGCCGGCCCTGCGGCGAGGGCAGAAATAGAGTAACTAGAATCGGCACTTGATAAAGCAAAATACGGGACGCCTTAAAGGGGCTTGCCTCACGTGACCCAGGGGTCTCGGGACCCAGCCACGCTGTGGCTGCTAGCCCTGTCTACAGCTCTGCCCCACGTGGTGGGGCCCTGGTCACCTGTGGAGGAACCCAGGGGCCACCACCCACCCCCAGAAGAAGGAGAAGCCTTGTCCATGTGCAAAGTGAGAAGGGGCCAGAGAGCCCGCGTGCCTCCCGGCCCTGTGTGGGGTGAGCGGAGAGCAAGGGGAATGACAGGGCTGCTTCGCTCTTCTTCCACCAAACGACTGCCCGCCCATCACACACCTCTCCATCTTGTCCCCCACACCACTGGGGACATCAAGATACTTTGCAGGAAGAGAGAGACAGAGAGACACCTCAAGTTTAGTTGTTATTTGACCTGACTTCCACAGCCCCTGCCCCCCAAGTATTCATACTATCCAAGGGGGGTGGGGGAGGCTGCAGAAAGTGTAGAAAAATGGACCGACGAGATAATGGGAGTTTCCCATGAGGTTGCTGAAGCGCCCGTGGCACAAATCTACAGTTTATGTGTGTGTTTCTGCATGGCGCGTCTTGGTCAGAGTGGCCAGGCTGCACCGGGCCCCCTCAAAGCCTCCGTTAACCTGCGTGACTGTCCCGGGCGGGTGGTGCCTCCAGGGGGCCAGGGCTCTGTTGCCCCCGAGCCAGTTTCCCAGTCAGGGCATGTGGATGACGGAGGGGCACAGCCCGTCTCTGTTGAACACAGTCCCTTCCTTTCTGGTTGCCACGGTGCCACGCAGGTGGCGGCAGACCTGTTCCGGGTTTGCGCATCCTAGTTTTGCATAGAAAACAAAAACCCAACGTGGGGCAATGGGGTGGGGTGGGCCCGGGGTCCTGCTCCACTGGCCAGGCTCACAGGGGCGTGCTCTGTGCTCGCGGGGCTGCTGGTCCTTCCGAGACTGGTCCGGGGCGTCGGGCAGGTGGAAGGCGCTGCTGAGGGCCGGGTGGCCCCGCTGCCTAACGGTGACTCCCCAGCAACAAGACACCCCATCTTGGCAGAGGCCACAAGCGTATCTGCAGACGCTGAAGCCAACAAGCAAGTGAGGGCCTGAGCCTTTTTGGTAACTAGAACAGGACAGAGAGGGGCCCGGGAGTCCGGCTGATAGGCCTCCAGTCTCCCCGACGGGTCTATGGGGGTCAGACTCTCCTGCGTGAGTCTGATCCGGAGCCGCCACCGGCCCTGACCTTGGCGACTGCCCCTTGGCCAGCCCGTCTCCGCACCAGAGCCGGACCTCACTTCTCCTTGTCCTTGGGAGGCGGGCTGCGGGCCGCTCCGAGGTGGTTCCACACCTCCGTGTACAGCAGGGTCCCGATGAAGACCAGCACGGTGCCCAGCCAGTGCCACAGGGTGAAGGGGTTCCGGAAGTACAGGATGGAAAAGATGAGGCTCACGAACTTGCGCAGCGTCACCACCAGCGTGACGGTGAGCGAGGCGCATTCTGTGGTCAGGATGAACACGCCCCGGATGCACACGTACCTGCGGGAGGGAGTTAAGGGCCTGTTCTGAGCAGAGCACTCTGGCACCGTGGCTTCCAGTGTGACAAAGAACCAAAACACGGGAGGGCTGGTCAGACTGCCCTGGGCGCCTCCCTGGTCCCACACCACCCGGGACTCATGTCCTGCCATGCTGCCTGCGGGCCCCAGTTGGAAACCCTGTGTACCCAGAACCAAACACTGCCAGCCGACGCCATCCTCACCATCCATGCGATGTTTCTGCTCACTGCCTGCCAGCCTGTCCCACTGTGGTGGCTGGCGTGTTGCTGGGCTGCGGGAAGCTCTGCCAGTGGTTTCAGAGGCCAGCAGAGTCACCCGAAGGGAATGGGTTTCTGGGGAGCCTCCCCACTAAGCACAGGCTGGAGGGGAGGGGAGGCGCATCCACTTATGGATGACAGCACTGACCCTTACGAGGAGCAGAGGAACAGTCTAGAAACTGCCTGAAATCATCCCCTGCAGCGGACTCTGGACTGTTCCTGCAGCGTACGCTGAAGGTCACCTTCCACAATGACAGAAGGTGACCCCAGCAAGTCCCCAGCCCTTCCACCCCCTTCCTTCGAGAAACTCAGGCGATTCCAGAGGAACTGGCTAATCTCAATAAAGATTCAGTGGGTTTTATGATAATTTGGAGATACTTCAAATTAGCCATTTAGGGGGGAAAAAAAGTTTTGATGAATTTGAAGTGTCTTTCAGAATTTGAGGGCAGCATGTGATAACCTGAAGTGTCCAAAGATACCAGAAACACCCAGGTAGAAATCAGTGCCTGTTCAAGTCAGATTCTAATTCTTAAGGAGCCCGGCTGGGGCAGTAGTTAACGGACAGGTCAGAGGTTTGAATCCACCAGGCGGTGTGTGAGAGGAAGATGCTGCGGCATGGTTCTCTGTCCTACGGGGTCATTTTGATTGACTTGACAGTAGTGGATTATACCCATTCTTAATTACTCATCAAAAAAACTCCTATAAACTCACTGTGATCAAGCCATAAGCCTAGAAGGCAGGGTAGAACTGCCCCATGAGTTTCTGAGACTAGCTCTTTACTAGAGTAGAAAGCTCCATCTCTCTCCTGCGGAGCGGCTGCTGGTTTTGAACTGCTGATTTCTGGGACTGAAGCATCCAAAGTACTCACAGGACTTCCGAGCACTCCTGTCTAACACTGCTTTCCCAAAGTGGGCACTGGAATGATTCAGTGGTGCTGAAAAAGCAGAGACCTACACTTTTATCACAGACCATGAGCTATAGTATAAACATTTTAGTTGCCAGGGGGGCGCTGGGTAAGTTTTGTTCTGCAACGGGGGCGGAAGGCCAAGGGAGTTTGGGCACCTGTGCCCTAGTAGGTCTAGAGTAGTCCCAGCAAAGGGACTGGTCTTGGTCACCTCCTGGCTGGCTGCAGGACAGGCCCCTGCACACTGGACGAGAACAGACGTCTCCTCGGTCCACACGTCCCAGGGAGACACGCGGCAGACGGGCAAAGGATACTGAGTGATGACGTTCACGAGCAGGTAGAACCACATGACGGGCATGGTCACACCGAGCACTGGAACCTGGTACGACTCTGCGGGGGACAGAGAGAGGAGAGGCATGGGACTTCGTCTCTGGGAACACAGGGGCAGACTGACCACAGGACAGTCCAGATGGACGTCAGGCTGCACTTCTGCCTTGGTTCTGGGGAGCAGCGGCCTCAAAACCATTAGGTGGTTTTAGAGGCAAAACCGACGTCAACTTTTAAATAAACGCATTGCCTGGATATGCGGTCTCCTGTAGTGACAGACTATAAAGCCCAGAGGTGCCAAGTGGTGGGGACACCAGAGGAGAGGCGTGCAGAGATCTGTCGTCCTCCCACGGTGGGGGGATTTTAAAGGGAACCAGAACTGTGCCATCTTTAATCTGTTGTCAATGTAAGGACGTACAGACCAGGCCCTCGGTCCGGTCAGCGTTAGCATGTACAGACCGTGCCCTCGGTCCGGTCGGCGTTAGCATGTACAGACCGTGCCCTCGGTCCGGTCGGCGTTAGCATGT